CATTTTGATGACGAAAGTTCCGTCGAGTATGACGAAAATACCCTTGTTTTTAATAGTTCTTGCTTAACTTTCATCACACGTAAATACCGCTATAAATACAGAAGAAGTAAAATTTATAAATAGTAAAATTTTTGGAACATGAATTGTTAAAGTTAATTTTGGTGTATTTGCAAAGTTGATTATATTTTTGTTTTTTCTTTGTTGTAAAATATATTTAGCTCCGTTTTATATTAGCAAAAGAAATTAAATACTTTTCTTCCCATTCAACACTTAGATTTCTTACTTTCTTTGGAAAAATAGACCATTAAGTGAAGTGAATAGAATGAAAGAAACCAGCTGCCAGCTGGTCGGACTAGAATATAACGCAAAAGAGTCTTAAGGACAACACAAATTAGAATAATTATAAACTGTAATCGTGTATCCACAGGTTTAGTGTTGATTAAGGTTTTATTATTTTATGTTAAAATATAAAACAAGTAAAAGAAAATCGTATTAAACTATCTTAATTTTGAGAAAAAATATATTTGACCGAATAAAAATTCTTCCAAAACTCATTCGCAGATGCATGAATACATCCTAAGGCCTGCTAATGCTTTATTTCAAATGTAGGCCATTAGTAAGGCCTACATTTGATATAAAGCTTGAGCCGTAAACATGTTGGTGCATTGAGAAAACCAGTTCATAAGGTCTCGCGTTTAAGCCAAGAACCATATTCGTTTGATGTAGTTTTGATCTCTGAAAGATAGCCCGTGTTCGTGTACTTATCTTGAGCATCCAGTCCTTGGTTAAAAGGACCGGGTTGATTATACATTATTTCTCAATAGCTAAACTCTCCTTTGGGTATATTCAACCCATATGTCGTTTTGCGGCACTTTATTTTCTAGTGTGTAGTCTTCGGAGGGCAAAATCATCCTGTAGGATCAAGCAATAGCCTTTTGTAACGAAATATGATGTCTCTTCCCACTGCCTACTTACTGTCATTCTTCTGCAACCGTAACTCATCTCTCTGTTAGGACGCATATATCGCATTTTCTCTTTATGCATGTTCTATATGACTCTCCCATTGTTCATTCTATCATTCACTCTATCCATTCATATTCCATCACGCTCCTTTTGTGCGTTTAATCTCTCTTCTTCCCTGTAAATCGTGACAGTCGTATTAACGACTCATAGTCAGACGTTTTTCCGACATAAAACGGTAGTCAGAAAAGCGTCTGACCCCATGAAGCAGTTAACGGTGTATCAGCGCTGGACTGACAGCTTTCAGTCGAAAACGTGTCTGGCATGCGTACCGGTCACCTTTTGCTACCTAAATGTGCATCAGACACTTTTTGATGTCGGAAAGCTGTAAAAAATTCATAATTTTACTTTAATTTCTTCATATTGATCGTAGGAAATGCTCTAATCAGGGAAAGGATGCGTAGTTAATGAGATTCAAAAGTACTTAAGCCGAACTACCAGCGACCTAACTTATTTTAAAAACAATGAAAATTTAGAATTTATATGTTGAGACTTATTATTCTGAAGCCTGAGCCAACTTCTAGAATGAAAAGTATTTTTTTTCTAGATTTCGAAGATCAGTCTCGTCTCAACAGCTAAATAGCAGTCGCTTTTCCGAATGAGAAATATGCTCAGTCGCTGCGAGTCCGAAAGGTGACTGATCCGCTTGCGTCAGTTGCTAAAGTGATTTGCAGCGACTGACTATAATATTATAGTCAGTCGCTACAAATATGTAATATAATATCATATAAATCCCTAAGATGACTACCGCGATTTACAGTGTTTTGACTTCTGCATTACATATTGTACAGAACATATTCGTTAGTCTATTTAGGAATAAACTCAGTAAAGGCATCATTCCCTTTATACGTTTCTTCTCAGCTAGTTGTAAACGATGTTCAGTGCTAGTAGTGATCCATCAGCCCGTTTTAAAGGCGTTTTTGCGGACTGCTGGACATATCCAAAGGAAGTGGGAGGAACAGAAAACAATTTCAAAAAAAACTATATAACGATGATCAGTATCGAATTCTGAACAAAAGGCTCATTTCATTTTTCAAACTTTTGACTTTTGTTTTTTTCAAAAACTTTTCATCCCTATCTATCCTTGGATCATAGAAAAATTAGTCATCATGGGTTTTGATTCGAGATCGATGGTCCGATGCAGAATTTCACGCTCATTACGAACATGACCTTTATTTTGCATGAAAACCTTCTGATACCGAGAAAATATTTGTTTCTGGTCGAACGTTATTTATAGTCTTCTTCAGAAGTCGACCTCTGAAGGCAGAAATCTTGCTCTGGAACTGTAAAAAGCTGTTAAGTATATGTAAAAACACGGGTTCTTTCAAAATATCATGTCAGAAACTGTATATGACTCCATTAAAGTGCCGAAAAGTCAAGTTCACTTCGAAAACCCCGTAAATTCCTCTATCATCTACAAATGATTTCTCTGCTACTCCTAAAGAAAAGCTTGAAACAAATAGAGATTTCACCTGTAGACCTTTTTCTTGATGCTCTTTCGCATGTTGTGAGAAAATTCTGAGAAAAAGTTGTACAACAAATCAAACTGAGTTTAGGATATTGAGAGTTTTCTAGTTGGTTTCTGAAAAACTGGATTTGAGAATCTGACCCAACTTTTCTCACGCCATGCGAAGAGGATCAACAAGTAAGTCTGCAGTAGAAATCTCTGTTTGTTTCAAGCTTTTCTTTAGGAGTATGAGAGATATCATTTGTAGATGGCAGGGGAATTTGCAGGATTTTCGAACTGAATTTTACTTTTCGACACTTTGATGAAGTCTTATACAGTTTTGGACGTGAAAGAGCCCGGCTTTTTGCATATATTTTCAATTTAAACTTAGAAAAAATTTTCAATGATCCAAGGATTTTTCACTTATCAAACTCTCACAAAAAATTTTTGAAAAAAATAAAAGTCAAAAGTTTGAAAAATGAAATGAGCCATTTTGTTCAGAATTCGATGCTGCTCATCGTCATATAGTTTTTTTCTAAATTGTTTAAGACTGCTCTATGCTAAAACCTTCCCACGTCCTCTCTTACGAAAATAATTTGTATTTTACAAGAAGTATGAATAATTAGAAAACTACAAAAGTTTAAAAAAGATAAATGATAGTATTGGTATGTATTTATTTGGTCGTGTGTGTGTCTAAGATATTTTATCTTCGATCATTTTTTCCGTATAATTCCAGCATTCTTCGGCCATTTTCTGATTATAACCAATTGAACTTGGATTAGCGACTTTACAATCTGAATGAAATTTTCCTGGTTGTGCTTCGTCGGACAATGAACAAAATAGACTGGTCATCGCTCCTTCGTCCATTGTTTTTCCAATGAGCAAACCAAAAAACTGCAGTATCATAATAACAAATTTCGGGGCTTGCCGAGCCAATTCCGTACTAAGGATTGTTCCGGGATGTAGTGAATAAGCTTTTATTCCCTTTTCACCGTATCGCCGTTGTAGTTCAAATGCATCCCAGATGTTTGCAAGTTTCGATGTTGCGTAGGCAAGTAATATCGCATAGGTTTCCGGCTCAACTTTGTATTTGATTCCCGTTTTTGGAACTAACCTATGGGCGTTGCTACTGACGTTCACTATTCTACCGTTGGAGTTGATCAGTAATGGTAAAAGAAGTTTTGTTAAATAATGGGGACCGACGTGATTTGTTCCCCATTGTAATTCAATACCGTCGGCTGTCTGCTGATATTTTTTCGACGTAGTCGCAGCATTGTTCAACAGAATATTCAATTGACTTTCATTTTTTAAAATTCTGTCCGCAAACGTTTTCACAGTCGATAAGTTCGACAAGTCGAGGTTGTAACCAGTGACTTTACCATTACTGGCTTCGCGTTGGATTTCTTGTGCTACTTGTTCGGCTCGTTCTTGGCCGCGTATACCGACAATAACTTTCGCCCCCAATTTTGCAAATTCTCTAGCAGAAACACGACCGATTCCGGCTGCAGCGCCGGTCACTACGATGACCGTGTCGGTAAGATTTGTCGACGGTCTGTAAAGACGACCGGAGGCCAAACGACGAGTGACGAAATAAACAACCGCTGCATAAATGAAAAGTGGAATGAATGTTAAATGAAGATAACTGAATGCAATGGAGAAAATGACGATATTAACGAATAAAAAGCAAAAAGATTGAGTTTCTGGTTCAGTCAACAAACCCAACTTAAAATTAACCATTTCACCTAAAAGAAATAAGCGCATAGATGAAATAAAATGAGTTAATAATTCTTACTTCATGTATAATGTAAAAGGAGTGCCATAATAGAAAACCTAGAAACACCATTGGAAAGGTTGAAGACCCTATTCAAAATTGTTTTTCTGCTCTTATCGGCGAAAAGGTATAATGTTTTTTGTCATTCAGTGTAAATGTTCACAAAAAAACGATATCATGATTGATAGATTGCAATACAATAGTTTGTATTTTTCTCATCGGATATATCCGCGAGCGTTCTGTTGAGGAATTATTAGGGCAAAATACCATAAACCTTATAAAGATACATTCGAACTAGGGCTACGACGTTCTGTCTACTTTATTTGTACAGTGAAGAAAAACATTTTTGCATGAAAACAAAGCAAATCAATCTGCTACAGAAGCCACGTCAGTAAAGTATGCTTTAGTTAGAGAGTAAATAAGATATTATGGAAACTAAACTTACTTTGAACTTTCTAGAATAAAACAAATATAAAGTTGCTGCTCTAATTCAAACTTTTCTTTACATGACCACCTACTGCTACGGCGTAATCATGACTGTGCCTTGGTTTGGTGTAATCTTCCCGAAGTTTTCTGTTTTACACGAGTTTCTTGCGTATTTTTTCGCTCTTGCGTTCTTAGCTGTGACAACTTATTTTTTTTAAACCTTCGGTGGCGAACCGTTCGCTGCCGATCAGCGGATCCTAGCTCGGGACTGTTTCATCCCTAACTGCAACCAGCGCCGTGACCACAGAGAGCATGTGAAGAAGTGTACGTTTCTGCTGCTTTTCAAGAAAATATTTTCTCTTTACCAACCTCTTTTCTGCCAAACATTTCGTTAGAGCTCTTAGGCAGATTTGGTAGCGAATCGAATCAATATTGAACTTGAACTTTATTTCATGTGTAGAAAATAATCTTTCAGAAAATCCTATATACATAGGTAAGCATAAAAAGCCAGAGGCTTGTAAAAAAGTACCGCCTGTACGGAAAAGAAGAAAACATCCGTTTGAAGAGCAGTAGAAGAAAAAAAAGAAAAAAACAAAAGAAAAAGAAAACCAAACTACTGTGCTAGAAGTGACCATGTTCAAAGCAGTAAGACAGATACCAAAGATTACTCAAATGTGCAGATGGATTCGCAGTGCTCTTTTGAAAGAAATGACTGTCCTTGCGATCACTACTTGATCTGGCAAAGAATTCCAGTCGACTGCTGTTCGATAAATCGAATGTCAAGCATACTAAAAAATGAGCATGCAAATATTTTACTTCGTTTTGTATTTTTTTTATCAATATTATTATCAAGGTATATTAAAAATATATTTTGATCTTCATTTAATGTTATTATTGTTTTTGTCCTTTTAGTATTTGATTCATTTACTTGTATGCTTTTACAGAGGCCTTACGACTTCTCCGCCTTTAGGTTTGGGACTGTCAGAAATGAATGAAAACATTGGTTATCGACTATACTGAATTCCGTGGCAATGTTAGTTTTCAGAACAAAATGCAAGAAACCGAGTGAAAATCTTTACTAGATGAAATAACCCAATTTTGGCTTTTTTCATAAAAAATTAAAAAATTCATAACTCAGTCAAAATTCATCCAACCTATTTGAGAATGTCAGGAAATACTCTATTTGTTCCTCTCATTCTGATTCTGTACTTAAAGCCAATAAAAAATGTTCTCTTGATTTCGCAGCTTTTTGCGAAATCTTTCTTCCTGTTGATTTTCTCAACTGTTATTGAGCTTTAGGTATGTTGCGCATAAAATAGAGTATACCAAAGATCAAATCTCATGAGATCAAACAATAAACAAAGTTTGATCTTGACCGGAATATTATGTATCGATAAATATTATGTATCGACCTACTGATAATCAAATCAAGTTTTTTATTTAGCTCGACACTACGCTTTAAAATCTCACATGACATAAATTCCAAAGTGCGTAACAGAGCACTTATGTATTCTTATTCTTACTGGATAATAATTTGACATTTGTTCGATTTCGATCAGATTTTGTTTTCTCACAGAACGGCTCAAAAGGTGCCATCCAGGCGTCGTTTAGTTAAATACAATAAATTTAATTTTGAACATTGCAGATAAGTGAAATGTAGTTTACACTTCTTTTATCTGATGATAAGAAAAGTAATCTGTTAGTCCTGTTCCTGTATGGTGAAAATATGCTCGACAAGTTTTTCCGAGTGTTGCGCTTATGAATAACACCCACTATAGAAGAAATGAATGATTTTTGCGACAATCATTATCAAGTGTCAAATATTGATATATCT